AAAAGAGGAGAAGGAAATTCCTATCAGAAAGACAAAATAGAGAAAAAAGGTGTGCAGTGCTATAACTATGAAAAGTATAGTCACTCGGTCAAACATTGTTGGTACAGGAAAGACAAGGGATCAATAAAAGAAAAGACAAAGGAGTGAACCTTGCACATTAAGATTCAAATTATTCTGATGATATGGTGGTTATGGATGTTGTTGCAGATGACCAGGTTGAATCCAATATCTGGTTCCTCGACTCAGGCTGTTCGAATCACATGACTGGTGGAAAAGAGTGGTTAGCATATTTCGACAAGTTGAAGAAGAGCAAGGTCAAACTTGCTGATAATAGCTCATTGCAAACAAAAGACTCTGTAGACATAGTTATTTTGAGGAGCAATGGAGGAAAAGCCATGATCAAAGATGTACTATATGTACCTGGAATGATGTGGAATCTGCTAAGTGTTGGACAACTGGTCGAAAAAGGTTTCTCAATTGTAATACCCCAAATTTTGCCCTAAGATTAGTCGTTTCATCTTGCATCCCATTTCATTTTGCATTGCGTTTAAACTAACCACTAACGGGTTGTGCAGTTGTTTGATTGTTGCAAGAAAATATCATGTGGCGCGCTCTTTTAATTTACAGGGTTTCTAGTGCCACTTTATTTTGAATGAATAAAATAGCATAATTGGCAAGAGACCCTATGTAAGGAGTTGTGAGTGTGAGAGGTTGAGAGTTTGAATCCCACCTTCTTCACTTTTTGTTTTGTTTCTTTTATTTTTATTCTAACTTTTCTATTTTCATAAAAAAAAATAACAAAAATAGTTTTTTTATTATTTAATTATTATTTTCGTATTTAAATTATTTTTTAAAAAATATTATTTTTTTTTTACTTTTTTCCATATTATTCATAAAAACGTCCAAAAATCATAAAATTAAAAATATTAGAAAAGATTTTATTCTTTTAAGTTTGTTTTAGTTTTTTTTTTTTTTAGCTTTGACTAATTATTTAAGTTGGGCTTTAAAGTGGGTATTAGGTTAGAGTTAACCCTAATTTGTTACCTATATAAACATGAGTTGCATTTGATAAAAGAGAAAGAGGACAAAAAGAAAAAACGACGGCCGTTCTCACGATTTATCAGAAGAGGAAATTTTTTTGGAAGAACCCTAAAAGGCTCGAATTCATCATCGGCCAAACGCTACCGGCGAGCAAAAAGTTCCAACGACAAGGGGATCTTTGTTCATCATCATCGCCGTTACCGTAAGCTTTCTCTTTCCTTTGATTTACGACATTTTATGATTTTTGTGTTGTTTTGTTCATTGATTGTAGATTAATGGGAACAATAAATAGAAGATGACATGCAAGGATTGAAGGAGAGGAAAAGCTTCGATAGTCATCCATGGAGAAAACGGCAGAAGCCTTTTTATTTACGTTTCATTTTTTTATTTTATTATTCAATTGTTTATTTTTTCATTTATATTAACTATGTAGTTTGTAATTAATAATGCAATTAAGTTTAGGTAAGTTATTTCAACAAAAAAAACATAATGCAATTAGTTTTTTAAAAATTAAGATCTTTCTAAAAAGTTTTTTTTAAAAATTAAACCATTTTTTATTTAAAAACATATATCTGAATAAAACAGTTTTTCTCAATTAAAGTTTTTTTCCAATTAAAACCATTTTTCATTAAGTTAACACAAAAATTAAAAAATGACATTTCTTTTACTAAAACAAAAATTAAAACCTTTTTCGTTGAATTTAAATCAAATTTTTTCATTAAAATTTAAAATATTTTTTATTAAAATTTAAAACATTTATTTTCGATAAAATTAAAACATGTTTTTTCAAGACATTTTTTCATTAAAATTAAAACCAGTTTCTTTATTAAAATTTTTAGTAAATAATTAGAATAGTTTCTCCATTTAAGCATGAAATTAATTCTCCTCTCCTCTTCTCAATAAAAACTCAAAAAGAAATAAGTTTTGATTTAGCCGTTTCATTTTTGTCTAACCCTCATTAATTTGTTTGTTTCAACTCGTTATTATTTCATTTGTTCATTTTTGTTCCATGGATGTAATTTACGCGAGGCCATGGTCGCGGTTATTTTATTTTGCATTTTTTGGGAATTTTTAATTTACGCGAGTCATCGTCGCGATGCTTTTTTTACCGCTTTCTTTACTTTTCGCATTTTAATTTCTGCCATATAGTATTTTTCCTTGCTTGCATGTTTTACCGTTATATTTTCCTCCGAAGGAATTAGGATTAACAGTTTGACCGCCGAGTCAATAACCCTAATTTTGACCGTTTCAAAACCCTATTAGCCTAGGCGTCCTGCCGTGGACGAAAACGCCCTTTACCCTAGCTTTAGGTCAAAGAGTCGCCGTACTCTGTTTAGGGTTTCCCGCCGTGGAATCCCTAATTTAACCCTAATTTCAATTAACAAATTCAACGTAGAAATAGGAGTTTAAGACTCCACGTAAGCGTGTCCTTAAGATACGTTTACTCCCCTTGAAACCTTGACCACAGTCAAGATGTTTCTAACCTCCCTTTCGAGGGGAACTACGATTACTCTGATTCCATTCCCTATCCAGGATACGTAGGCACAAGATGTGATATCTTGCCGAGTAAACTTAGGACTAACCCTTAGGTCTCTTTAGGCTACTATATCCCTTAGCTCAATATATATTTCAAACAGATAATAAAAATAAAAAAAGCATACAATAAACAAAAGGTTCCTGTAGAGTACTACAGAAGTTTAGGGTGCTAGTACCTTCCCTAAATTTAACCAACCCCTTACCTAGGTCTCTCCCTACATTGTGTTTACGATGCAAAAATAAGTTTTTCCTCTTTTGACCTTTTCCTTCGGATAAATCAAAGAGCGGTTGTGAATTAAAAATTGTGATTCAAATTAATTAATAATTTGATATCCTATTTCCACCGCAACAGAAAAATGGCGACTTCACTGGGGATTCATGACCCTCCTAATTTTAAGGGTTGCCCCTATTTTGTTTATTGTATGCTATATTATTTTATTAATTATTTGTATATATTATGGTACCTTGTTGGGAATACCTGTTATTGTGAGATAAGTCCTAACCCGGACTTGAGTGACTTTATTATAGGAAGGTGAGATATTCGACGAGGCTTGCCGGGAGTGAGTCCCGACCAAGTCGACTCGAGAATCACCGCTCAGTTGAGACCCTTTTGTAAATGGTTCGGTTGATCGAGTGCAGTCGTGAAAACTTTTACTATTTTCGATTGGAGTCTGTGATATTGAGGACTGTAGTTACCTTAACACCACCTTGGCCTTATGTAGGACGTAGTGCGGGAACTATGTGGGAGTAGTCCTACAATAGTTGCTACGCGATGCTACACTCAAAAGAGGTTCTCTTGAGAATAT